TGCCTTTGCTAGCAGATACTTGTATCTGTCGCAAATTTGAAGCAGGTATTCTTTGCAAATTGAACAGTACCTGCGGCATTTTTGCAGATAAAGTTTTTGCAACGTTTTTTTTTTCGATCTCAATTGCTTCATAGCAGGATTATACCTCAGATTAACTTTTCTATCGCGTTGCTTCATAACATACAGTAATACAATTTGATTAGATGGTAAATTTAAGGTTTCTGTACTAAACAGTTTGTGTTTCAGCTTTTAGAAAATAGATAATTGCTAAAACACCACTAAAAATTTTTTTTTACAAAGTCAAGGTATTTTATAGGTTGCTAACGATATTGGCTATCCTGTTATGATCAAAGCTTCTGCTGGTGGTGGTGGAAAAGGTTTGCGTATTGCATGGAACGACAAACAAGCTCGCGATGGTTACAGGTAGAAGAGTTGAGCAGTCCAAGGCTTGCGAAAGCTAAAGAGCACTTTTATCCTAACTTTTCAGGCTCTCCAAGCAAGAGGCTAAGTCCTCATTCGGTGATGACCGTATGCTTGTTGAGAAGTTTATCGATAACCCAAGGCATATTGAGATGCAGGTTAGGTTTGGATCCTAGTGGAGGATCACACAGAATCTTTTCTATTAAAAGCTATACATTTCCTTGCAGGTCCTTTGCGATAAGCACGGTCATGCTATCTGGCTGAATGAGCGTGAGTGCTCTATCCAACGACGTAATCAGAAAGTAATTGAAGAGGCCCCAAGTAGCTTTGTACCACCAGACATGCGTCGTCGTATGGGAGAACAGGGTTAGTCTTTTTTCGGATCAGCTCTGAAATCGGATTAAACAATCTAGATGTTTGCACGTTTAGCCACATCGCTTGCCCTCGCTGTCGGTTACGATTCTGCAGGAACTGTGGAGTTCTTAGTTGACTCGAAACGAAATTTCTATTTCTTGGAAATGAACACTCGACTTCAGGTTGGCTAGACGAGTTCATTTTGGAAGTACAGAGTATTCCTTGAATATGCTGATTTAGGTAGAGCATCCAATCACCGAGTGCATTACTGGAATTGATATCGTACAGCAAATGTTACGCGTAGCTTATGGTCACCCATTGCCACTTACCCAGGAGCAAGTTCCGTTGAATGGTTGGGCTTTCGAGAGCAGAGTGTACGCTGAGGTGAGAGCTACGCTTCAGTAA